CACTCTGCCCCAGTGCCTCCCTAACAGCTCACCATGGGCTGGGAGCTCTGGCCACACAAGCTTCGAAGGCCCAGGCCCAGGGAAGCCAAGGATACAATGACTTGTAGGGCACAGACAGCCAGGAGCAGAATACGGATTCCTAGGAACAAGTTCTGGAGATAAGGGAAGAAAAAAGATTAGAATCAGGAGTCCACTTCTCTGATTCTGCTCTGAGTACCACCTAATCACCTCTTTCCCCCAAAGGAATCAGACTCTGCTCAACTAACTACTTCTTCCCACAAGAGCAGATTCCACCCCATTTGCTTGTCTTCCCTGTCACCTTGCCACCCTTTATGAAGAAGTACAGATTATATCTCTACCCCCTAGAACAGTGGTTGTCAACCTTCCTAACACCGCGACCCTTTAATACAGTTCCTCATGTTGTGGTGACCCCCAATTTCATTGTTACAAATTGAACATAATTAAAGCATAGTGATTAATCACAAAAACAATATGTAATTATATATGTGTTTTCTGATGGTCTTAGGCGACCCCTGTGAAAGGGTCGTTCGACCCCCAAAGGGGTCGCGACCCACAGGTTGAGAACTGATGCCCTAGAATGTGGAAGGACCTGTGACTGCTCTGACCAATAAAATACTGTAGAAATGACACTATGCCAATTATAGGGTAACCCTTAACTGGCCTGGCAGCTTCCATTCCTACCTCTTGGAGTGCTCACTGTGACATGCTCTGAGTTGGAACCTAGTTACCTACTATGAGAAGCCCAAGCCACTGCAAGCTCTCTGCCTGACAGTCCCAGCTGAGCGCCCAGCACATCCATGGGAGTGCACCAACATGGATGTCCAGCCCCGTCCAACCATCGGATGACTTTATCCCCCAACTGACATCTGACTGTGACTTAATGAGAAAACCCAAGTGAGGACTGCCCATCTGAGCCCACTCAACCCATAGACTGTGAGAAGTTGTAATAACCTGTAGATTTAAGCCACTGCATTTGAGAGAGGTGTGTTATGCAGCAGCAGATAACTGGGAAACCCACCCACCAGAAAAGACAGATGAGAGGCCCATGACACCCACTCCTAAATGTCTCCACTTTGCCTCTCATCTGCTTTGATTCAGGAAATATTCATGCCATGAGGGACTGAGAAATGACTTTAGCTTAAGCTAAAACCTGAACCATAGACCTAGGATGAGGTCCAAGCTCAAAGAGCCTACATCTCTGCCCTCCAGTGCCCAGTTCCTTAGGAACAAATAGCTGTGATGGGTCCCTGTCAGATGGGACCCCCCATTCTTACCTTCAGTAACTCCATAGAGATCTTACACCGATCCTCCCACCAATCTGAGTTTCGGTAACTTCTCCGCCTCCATCTGTAATCAGTGGTTGTGGTGGGAGGGGCTGGGCGATCACACACGGAGCTCAAGAGTTCGTCACTTTCCCAAGTTATGCTCTTCACACAGAGGACAACGGCAGCCAAGGCCGTGCCAATGCCAGCCAGGGTGAGCAGGCCTGACACCCGGCTCTAGAAGAGAGAGGTTAGGGATGCAGACTCTCTCTATTGATGGCAGAGCTGTGGGGTCCTGGCCTCAAAACTGTTTCCTCCCCAGTTTCCTGGCCCAGGAAACCCTCCAGGAAAAATCCAGGACCCAAAGGGGAGAGGAGAAGAAAACCAGAAGGGGGCAGGGGATAAGGTGGGGCAATGGGGGCCCGACTCACTGAAAGTATGCTCCGCTGCTTCTCATGGATGATGGTCCCAACTCCTGCTAAAATAGCCTGAGAGAAAACACCAGAAAAGGCCTCCTAGTTACTCTCCTGAAATGATCTCTGACACCATCCTTCCCCCAACAGTTCCCACAGCAGCCAGTTTGCAGCATGATCCAAAGGACAGGCAAAGACACCTAGCAGATGGACCAGACTCCATACAACTGTCCCACCCTTCCCAAAATTGCCTTAACGAGAAAAATGGAGAGTGGGAGGTTTTTGTTCACCCCTAAGAAGCTTCCTCTTGGCAAAGGGCATTCGGACTCGGGTTGTTGGTCTCTTCCCCAAAACCCTGACTCAGACCCAAAGGAATTTCTCTCCTGGCCCATAACCAGTTGCCTCCCACTGAACTCACAATCGCTTCCTTACTCACCACAGACCCTGCCCAGAAAGCGCAGCCTGAGCCACGCAGCTCAGTCCAGGGCCCAAAGTACAGAAACACTCCAAAGGCACAGCTCACAGCCCCCAGCAATATCTGGGTCACCTGCAAGACAGGGAAAAAGTCAGACCCCTTCCAATGAGCCCACGTACCCAGGAGCAGCCACCCAACTCCTTCTAGGTGCCTCTCCTCTCCTTTTCCTCTGTCCTGACCTCTCTGTAGCTCTGATTCTGAAAGATTCTGTTCCCTTAACATCCATGAGGTAGCATGTCCTGGTTCTCGCCAAACCCTCTGACATGCCAGGCTTTTGCCCTTCATTTCTTTTTCCTAAACACCACACTCTGTCATCCCACCTGATGGTTCTCCCTTGGGAATTCCATAATCCTGTCTAGGGCAGCAAAGACCCCCTGCAAGAAAGGAGTGTGGTTGGCTCACAGATTATAGGGGTCAGCTCCTTCAGGTCCCCTCATCTTTCACTGCCAAAGGCACCATCACAGACCATGGTTAAGCAAGGTGGTGGTGCAGAGCCATTTCCACCTAGCAGGGAACTCTGTAGTGGGCAGTCTGTGCTCCCCAGCTGCCCCCTGGGCTGGCAGAGACCTGTCAGGCCTACACCATGGTCTGATGCCTCCCCCTGCCCAATCCTGCTCCCTCTCTTTTTGTTTCATAGGTGGTTGGACCCCAATAAACCTATGCACACCTAACTCCGACTCATGTCTGCTTCCTGGAGAACCCAATTATCACAGCATCTTGGACATCACTGCCTGCATGCCCTGCCAGTATCTCGGAATTGTCACATCCGAATCCCACACCCCACTCACACTCCCAACACCTGCCTCTCCTGACTTCCAGGGCTCCAACCTCCTGGTCACCCACATTCCAAGCCTCAGCATGTTCTTAGACTCCTCTCCTCCCTTGTAACCCAAGCCTCTTCACTCCCAAGTCGTGGAGATACCATCCACAAAAGATTTGGACTCTGCTCTTTCCTCATCATTGCTGCCATGACCACACAGATGCAGACCTTCCACACTTGTTGCCTGGACAGCTCCTGGCTGTGAGGCAGCCTAAAGCCCAGGTTCCTGCTCAGAATCCACCCACAGCCCTTCCACTATCGAAGCTGATTCAGGAGGGGCAACTCACTGTCACTCGGGCTCTCAGCCCTGTGGTCTACATTCTCAATTGAACCATTCTCTTTACTCTGCCAGAACTTGCCCCGTGCACTCTGGCTTCTTTGCTCTGGCCATTCTCTTCGCCTACAGTTCCTTTTCTTCCTCTATCTGTCTAAACCCACTTCTCTATTCAAGGTCTAGGTCAGGTGCCAACTCCTGCAGGACATCTCCCTGCCTCCCAAGGACATCGCCTGCTCTACCTTTAATTCTAGGCATTTCTGTAGTTGTCTGATCCTTTGGTGGGTGCTGAACACTTGCAAGTTGTATAGCCCTGTGATTCTCTCCCAAATTGCCTATCACTTGGCCTTACCGGCAGGCCTCAGCCCATAGAGTTTCAATTAAAATGAACACCTTCAGGGATCTTCCCCCAACCCCCACTCCCACCTCTGGCTGGGACTGACCCACTGCACCAAAGAAGAGTTCCTTCATTCCTTTCCATCCAAATCTCCATGGAGAAACTTCCAAACCTTCTTTACCCAAACAAGATGGGATACAAATAGTGAGTCCTCAATGGGAGCTCAACCCACTTTCCTTTTTTGCATTCTATTGAAGAAGGAGAGTTATTGTCCTTGTCACCTGGCTTGCCCGCCTCTCTAGCCCACTCTTACCCCTCCTGCCAGTGGCCCATAGCTTATCCTGGTCGTGGGAGGGCTAGTGTCCCGAGAGCCAATGAAGAACTCCTTCAGGGAGCCCCCAGCTTTTAGCAGTTGTGTCAAAAACGATTCCTGGTGGATGTGGATATTGATGTGGGTGGGCTGGGACAGTATAGAGTCCACGTCGACCCCATTCACAGTCACCATGCTTTGAGCCATCCTGCCTGTTGGGAAGAAGATGTACAGAAATGAGGTCTGGGAACTGGGTGAGATAACAAGGAATACACTGCATGAAGAAAAGTAGAGAAAACAGCCTCTTTATCAAGATCCCAAGGGTCTTCCCAGTGTTAGTATCAATGTCACAGTGACCTTGATCTGGGCTGCAAACCCAAATTGCCTCGGGAGCTCTGCACAGATTTTCCTGGGCCTCTCCCCAGAATGGCCTAACACAGTTTGTCTGGGTCTTGGGTTGGACAAAGAAAGGAATCTGTATTATTTATTTCAGTGAGTTAGCATGTGCAGCTGAGCCTTGACCAACCAGGGTTTGAACTGCATGGGTCCACCTATACGTGGAATGTTTTTTTCAATTAACCCTGTAAATGTATTTTCTGTCCCTTATGATTCTCTTAATAACATTTTCTTTTCTTTAGCTTACTTTATTTAAAAATCGAGCATATATAATACATGTAGTATACAAAATATGTGTTCACCGGCTGCTTCTATTATTGGTAAGGTTTCTGGTCAATCTTATGCTCTTAGTTAAGTTTTGGGGAGTCAAAAATTATATGTGAATTTTCAATTGCACCAGAGATCAGTGCTCCTACCCCCCACATTGTTTGAGCGTCAACTGTGTGTTTACACATAATAGTTTCATATGGTTAAAAATTTAAAAAGACATGAAAGGGTACACTTTTAAGACCCTCTCTCCCTTCTTTCTCACAGCCACCTAGTTGCCTTCCAGATGGCATTTTCCTACAGTGACATTTTTTGCATATAAAAGCATGTAAAAATATCCTTTCCCCACAAAGGGCAGGATACTGCACACACTATACTGCACAATGATTTGTTCCCAGAACCAATTCAAAATAATCCTGCATCAGTCTACAAAATGCTTCTTCACTCATTTGCATAGCTGCATAGCATCCCATTGTCTGAATGCATCGTAATTTTTTAAGCACTCCCCTATAGATAGCCATTTATTTTTTTTTCTCACAAATAACGTGGAATTGGCAGGTCAATGGGAACGTGCATGCAATCTCCATGCAGAAACAAAGTCAAGAGTATTCACTGCCCTTGCCCATGGCCAGCAGAAGGTGTCAGCAAACCGCTGAATCTTTTTCCACTGTGTAGCAGGAAAATTACATTGCATTGTAGATTTTAATCATTTTTATCCAATAAAATACTCCTTTCTAAATGTATACAACTACTTTTGACAAATTTGTACATTTGTTAAACCACAACTACAATAAAGATATAGAGCATTTCTATGTTGCAAAAGTTCCCTAATGTTCCCTCTCCAGTCAACCCCCAACCCCTGGCCCCAGGCAACCTCTGAGCTGCTTTCTGTGACTAATCTGTGGTTATCTTGTGATGAGTGAGGTTGGTCATCTCTTCATATGTTTAAGAGTCATTTTCATTCTTCTGTTGTGAGTGCTCCATTCATACGTTTCCTCCTCAGTTTACTTTTTTTTTGGTCTGTATAGGAGTTTGGGTTTTTTTTATTGTTTTATTGCTTAAAGTATTACAGAGTGTATAGGAGTTTTATTGTGTGTTCAAAAAAATTACCATCTGTGGCATGAGTTACAACTATTTTTTTACAATCTGTGATTTATTTTTGGACCTTGCTTATTTCATGCAATCAAAGTTTTCCATCTTTTTTGGGCGGTTGCATCATACTTAAAAAGAACGTCCTATTTCAAGATGATAAAGGAATTCTTTTGTGTGTGTTTTCTAAGTGGTTTTAGGCTTTCAGTGATGTTGATCCATCAGGACTATTTCTTGTCAGTTGGAAGACATGGGTTGGGCTTCTTTTTTCAGGTGGTTAACATCTGAAGGGTAAGTTCTGTCTGTGGAATCTTTCTTCCATCCATTTAAATGCTCCCCTGAGAGCTCACTTTCGGTTTCCACCAGAGGCTGCATTTCCTTGTTTTGCAAGCTGTTCTTCAGAATAAAGTTTCTCCTTTAACCACACCCCAGGTTGAGGACACCTGTTTGTACTGGACTTGATGTCGTGTCCTTTTGTTGACAAAGTGATGGGCACTCAGTTGCCTCTAACCTGCTGTTGTGATGAACATCTTTGTGCCTGACCCTGTGTGAACCTGGACTCAAGTTTCTCTGGAATGGATTAGTGAATCATATTCATTTCCATTTTCTCTATGACCAGTCTGGATCAATTGCCCACCAATTCATGTAGCTTCTCATTAGCATCAAGAAGTCCTTTCTGCTATTTGGGAGACTTCTGTTCAAGATGATGGCATATGTAAAGGCTGCACTCGCCTCCTCCCATGTCCACACCAAAGTTACAACTAAACTACAGAGCAACCATCATTCAGAACCGCCTGAAGTCTAGCTGAATGAAAGTGCTGTAATGAGAATGTACAGAAGAAGCCACATTGAGACTAGTAGGAGGGCAGAGACACAGATGGGCTGGTCCCATACCCTCCTGTTTAAATCCAGAGGGATATCTCAGCTGTGGAGGTTCCCCCTGAGGAGTGAGGGGTTCAAGCCCCACATTGGGACCCCAATCCCAGGGTTCCAGTGCTGGGAAGAGAAGTCCCCATAACTTCTGGCTGTAAAAACCAGCGGGGATTGAGACTAAGGGAGATGGAGGCTACTGAAGCCCCAGGCAGTTCTTCTCTTTTTTTAAAAAAAAAAATATTTTTTTTTTAATTGATTTTTTTTTTTTTAGAGAGGAGGGGAAAGGGATAGAGAGTCAGAAACATTGATGAGAGAGAAACATCCATCAGCTGCCTCCTGCACACTCCCCACTGGGGATGTGCCCACAACCAAGGTACATGCCCTTGACCGGAATCAAACCTGGGACCCTTCAGTCCACAGGCCAACACTCTATCCACTGAGCCAAACCGGTTCGGGCCAGGCAGTTCTTCTTAAAGGACCCATGCACAGACTTACTCTGACTCACTCTGAGCTCCAGTGCTGGGTCAGCAGCTCAAAAAGTGAGGGAAATACAGGAAGGAAGTGAATTATCTGGCTTCAGGAAAAGGGCTAAAGGGGCAGCTTTCTCCCAGACAGAAGTGCTGGCAGAGGCCATTGTTCCTTTACTGAGACCTCCACCCACGGAGCCAGCAAGTGGGCACCATATCTGAGTCTCCATCAACCTGGTTCATGCTGTTTGCCACATCCTGGTGATTCCCTGAGACCCCACCCAACTTGAATGACCAAACATGCCCTGTATCTCTTACTAAGCAAACCCAAGCCTGGCACTAGTGGCAGCCAGCCTTAGTTCATAGCTTAGCCTCTCCCAGGCACCTCCAATCTCAGCAAAAGCAGCAACTACCTGTAGGTCAGTTTGTAGCTCATTCCAGGCGGCCCTGGACAGGGCACAGGCAGCCACTGACTTTGCCTGAACCAGAGGCCCCTCCCAAGAGGCCCCAGAACCAACAAACCTGGTGGCCAGCTCAGACCACACTAGAGCACCACACAACCACCTCCACAAATGACATACCAAGAGAGAGGACTTTGCAGGCACCAGAGCCTCACTAACGTAAATCCTGCTCCATGATGTCAGCCCCTCCACAACAGCAACTCAGCTATAGTCACAGCCAGTGCTCACAGTCCATCAAAGTGAGAGTCAATCCCTCCCATTGACATGCCAACAGCAATAAAGGTTCAACTCCAATAGGAAGGCACACCCAGCCCACACAAGGTAATACTCCTGGAGCACCTGGATCAAGTGACCAGGTAGACTGCCCCACTAGGCCCTACAGGACACCTATTACATAAGGCCACTCTACCAACACTGGGAGACATAGCAGCTTCACCTAATACATAGAAACAAACACAGGGAGGCAGTCAAGATGAGGACACAAAAAAACATGTTCCAAATGAAAGAAGAGGACAAAACTTCAGAAAAATAACTACACAAAATGGAGACAAGCAAGTTACCAGATAAGGAGTTCAAAACACTGTTTACAATGATGTTCAATGAACTTAGTGAGAACTTTAACAAAGGGTTATGAAACATAAAAAAGGAGATAGAAAACATAAAAAAGAATCAGTAAGAAATGAAAGATACAACAATTGTAATGAAGAATATGTTACAGGGAATCAACAGTATATAAGATGAAGCAGAGGATTAAATCAGTGATTTGGAAGACAAGGTATAGGGAACCATCCAATCAGAACAGCAAAAAGAAAAAAGAATTTTTTAAAATGAGGATAGTTTAAGGGACCTGTGAACAACATCAAGTATAACAACATTCATATATAGGGAAAAGAGAGAGCAAGGGATTGAGAACATATTTGAAGAAATAATGACAAAAAACTTCCCTAACTTAGCCCTAGTTGGTTTGGCTCAGTGGATAAAGTGTCAGCCTATGGACTGGAGGGAAGGCGTGGCTCAGTGGTTAAGGGTCTGCCCATGAAACAGGAGGTTTGATTCCCGGTTAGGGCACATGCCCAAGTTTCAGTATCAATTCCCCCAGGGCATGCAGGAGGCAGCCAATTGATGTTTCTTTCTCATTGATGTTTCTATAATCAATTAAAAAATGTTTAAGGTGAAATTTAAAAATAATAATTCCATTATAATAACTACATATGGTGTCAGATGGATACTAATCCTATTGAGGTGATCATTTCATAAATTATATAAATGTCTAATCACTATGTTGTAAACCTAATATAATATTATATGTCAACTGTAGTTGAAAAATAAAAATTATTTTAAAAAAATAAAATAAAAATGCTCCCTGAACAAAAATGAAATTGTCATAGGAATTTAGGTTTATTTTAATCTTGATATTTTACCCATTGGTGTGTCTGATGAGTCATGCCAAATTTTAATTATGACTATTGAGTGGTGCCCGACCAGGGACTGAGTTCTGGAACCAGGGCCTGAGTCTTGGCCGTAACAAGTGACACCAGAGCAGGCCCCTTTGGCCGTAACAAATGGCATCTGAACAGGCCTGAGTTCGGGGAAATTTTAAAAAGGTGGTCAGGTGGCCGAAACCGGTTTGGCTCAGTGGATAGAGCGTCGGCCTGCGGACTGAAAGGTCCCAGGTTCGATTCCGGTCAAGGGCATGTACCTGGGTTGCGGGCACATCCCCAGTAGGAGATGTGCAGGAGGCAGCTGATCGATGTTTCTGACTTTCTATCTCTCTCCCTTCCTCTCTGTAAAAAAATCAATAAAATATATTTTTTAAAAAAAAATAAATAAATAAATAAAAAGGTGGTCAGGTGAAAGGAGGCTCCAAGGCGCGCGCATAAGGTAAGCTCAAAAGAAAAAAGAAAGAAAAGAAAAGAAAGTAAGTTTAAAGAGCAAAAGTGAGATATGGCCATAGAACAAAAAGGTAGGGAGCTGAAGTGTGGTAATATTAGCTCGGTGTAAAACTTGGGAAATTCAGGAAATAAGCTGTAAAAAATAAGCGGTAGAAATAAGCTGTTTAAGTAAGAAATAAGTAGAAATAAGGGGTAGAAATAGAGAGTAAGTTTAAAAAGCAAAAGTAAGAAGACCAAAAAACAAAATAAGGTAGGGAGCCGAAGTGTGGTAAAATTAGCTCGGTGTAAAACATGGGACTAATGCTTAATCGAAGCATTTTTAAAGTAAGCATTTTTTAAATTTCTAAGTAGAAATCAGTGGTAGAAATAAGCAGTAGAAATAAGTAGAAATAAATGGAATAAACGTTAGGAAATAAGTGGTAGAAAATAAGATATCTCTTAGGTTTTGTTAAGCTAAAGATAGGTAAGATAGAAATAAGCTGTAGAAATAGAGAAATAAGTAGAAATAAGAGCTGTAGGAATAGAGAAATAAGTAGAAATAAGCAGTAGAAATAAGCGATAGAAAGTAAGCAGGAAGAAGCAAGCGGTAGAAAACAGGCGGTAGAAAATAAGTAATTAGGAGGTGCAAAATAAGGTAGAAATTTCCTAGGTTTTGTTTAAGCCACTGTAAAGCAGAAGATGGCTATGGTTGATGATGTTTAAGGAAGTAATTTTTTATTATAGACCTAGATTGTAAGCTCTTGCAGCAGTTGCATTGTTTCTAGGCTTTGGTTATCTTTGCTTGTGTGACCAGATAGCTCCCTGGGACTTTGGGTCTGTGTGAGACGCCAGACTGAGAGTTGAAGGTCTCCAGGTCATTTCCATGCAGCAGAGGCTAAAGAAAGAAGCTGAGAAGGAACCAGACTTCCAACTGCGTGGATGAGGCTGATTTGACTGGGACCGGTGCGGACTCAGTGCCAGGGTCAACTGCCCAAACAGCCTGATCCAGGGGACTGGTTTTGCATCAAGGACATCTTTGCATCGGCGGCAGTGAGATATCAGCATCGAGTCAGCTAAAGAAGATGGCAACTGAGGCCAAGCAGATGTTAGAAAAGCAAGTGGAAGCTGTGCTAGCATTGGTGAACTGTCAGTTTTCTGTAAAATCTTGCGGAGCTAAAATCTAAGTTCTTCGAGTAAGATGTCCTGAAAATGTTGACATGTTTGTAACTTGGTTTTGCATTGGTATTGCTTTGTTATTAGCCAGAGTTTTGTTCTCCTTTTAACATTTCTGTTTATGGTTTTGTTAATAACCAGGGGTTTGTTTTGATGTTTTGATTATGTTGAATAATTTATTTAGAGTTTTTTGGATAATGTAATAGGCGTGTTTAAAAACAAAAGTAAAGGGGGAGATGTGGGGTGCGGTTAAGGTGTTTTGGCCAGGTTCAAGCTTCGGACTAATGAAAGGACAGGGTCCTCTCATTGCCACGTGCAAGTCCCAGCTGGAAGGGCAGGGCTCTCCCAGCACAATCATAGCCAATGGCTGTGGTTGTAAGCTTGAACCTATGGTCCGAACACGTAGCCCCATGTGCCTTGTGATAGAGTTCGGGTGCATGTAGTTAAGTGAGGATGAAACTCACCAGAATGCTGTAAACAACTTGATCACGCCTCTACTTTGCCTCGTGGCATCTGCTATAAAATAAAGACACGGCTTGTGGGCGCGGGCACTGTCTCCTCATCAGGGAGCAGCGTCCCACCGAGATGCAGCTTTCATTCTCTTGTCTGTCTTTTCTCAATCCTTTCACACACACACACACACACACACACACACACACACACACACTCAAGATCACTGAACCAGGCTGAGCTGGCATGGTACATAAGACGCCCTGGGGCTGAGTATGCCATGGCTGTGCCGACTCCCCACAATTGAGTTTAATATGTAGTTGAGCTATTTCACAACAACCACCCCCCATATTATTTTTTTCCACAGCCATTTTTGCTAGATTGCTTTATGTCTAATCATATGCACATTAGAATCAACTTGCCTAGTTCCAAAAGAAATCCTCTGTGGGTGATTCTAGCAGACATCCTACTTAAGTCTCACTGTTTCTATCGTGACATTACTCAACAGCAGCAATCACAGCAATCCTAAAGTCTTCCCATTTGTATTTATGTGCTTTTGAGAGCAGGTCCACTCTCGCCTACCTGGCCTCCTTTGAAGTAAAAAGTACGGGTGGTTGACAATTCTGCAGACACACAAGGAGCTTCTAACTTTTTCACAGACGCACGCAAGGAAGTCCAGCCCGGATTCCAACAACTTCCCTGCAGGCCTGGGTGTCAGCATCATGTCGCAGCCTTGAACATGCCTCAGCTCCAGCTCCCTCTGAGCCCCCTGGGTACCCCATCCCACTCCAACTCCTGGATCAGCCTAGCACCCTGCTCTTCCTCCAAACCAGGCCAGCCCCATGAAGATTCCCCACTCACACCATACTGTCTCTAGGCTATGGGCTCTTCCCTGCTGCCAGCTCCCCCTGGAGCTGGGGAGAGGGGACCAGGATCCCCTGGAGTGGAGGAGAGGGGACCAGGATCCCCTGGAGTGGAGGAGAGAGGACCAGGCCACATCCTGGGCCCTCCACTTTGGGCTCCACTCTGGAGGAATCTTTCACCGCCCAACTGCCTGAGCCTCAGCCACCCCACCCAGAATAAAGGCTTGAGGCACCGGCACATACCAGGCACAGCCCCCCTCCCTCCCAGTCAATCCTATGGGAACCAGGAATGGGGAGAAAATGGCATCCTGTGAAACAGAATGGGGCTTTAGAGATTGGTCTGGGGGACTCAGAGAGAGACAGAGATCCTGCAGTGAGGGGCCACCTGGGCTGTAAGGACCCTGCTCACCTGCTGTCCCCTGGGAGTCGGCACCCCACAGAGCAGGGCTGGGAGAGGCTGGCCTGGACTTGAAGACCTGCTTCCGTGGGAGGGAGAAGAACTGACAGAAGCGGGAGAGGAGGTAGGGTCTGACCTTCAGCGTCACAACTTCCCAGAAAACAGCTGGGGCAGGGGCCCTTCTTGGGGGGGCTTCTGACTTGAGCAGATAATCAGGCAGCTAGAGACGGCAGAGCACACACAGACACAAACACACTCGCACACTCGCACACTGGTACCTACTCAGACTGCACACACACTGGGGCGAACACACCCACAGCACAGGCAAAGCCATCTGGCTCCTGTTGATCCACTCAACCCTGGAAAACCCCAGAGGGGCCCCTTTGTCCCAGCTGGATGCTAGGAAACTGTTGTTAAAGCCCAACCACCCCTTTCCTGCCACTCCTTCCTGCCACTCGGCTCATCACCTTCCTCTCCCTCAGCCTGGTCTCCGTGCTCAGCTCCTCCAGGCCTCCCTGCTCCAGTAGCCTCCGATTCCTGGGGAGCTTAGGTGAGGCAACCCCCAGCCCCGGCCCTTTCCCACAGACCTGCTCACAGGACCCCTCTCCAGGGGAACTCATCCTGCTGCCCCTCACAGCCTCTGCAGCCTCACCCACTTGCTGGGAGGGAGGGAGGGAGGGAGGGAGGGAGGGAGGGAGGGAGGGAGGGAACAACAATGACATAGAGAATGTGACTCCAGGAAGGTGGCAAGAGTGGATGCCACCTGTGTCCCTGTTTGATGCCAAGTCAGTCTGCCCTTTTAACTCCACCTTCACCCACAATGCCATCCTTCCCGGGGGTGGAGGAGCTTCACCAGGCCCCACACGGCCAGCTGAGTGGCCACTAGTGGAGAGGGAGGTCTTGAGGGGCTGAGGGGTGTCCCCAGGCCCAGCTGCAGCAGTAGAAGCTCAACAGGCAGCAAGGACTGGGGTTCTGTCCTGTAGCCTGAAGGCCTAGGAAAAGGCTGAGAGAGGAGCCGGAGTGGGGGCTGTGATGGCGCCAAGGGAGCAGAGAGGGGAGAGGTGAGGGAGGCAGGCACTGCTTGGTCCAGACCCTGAGGCCGTAGGAGGAAGACAGGGGACAGAGCAGATCTGAGATGAAGGGGGAGGTTCCAGGGGCTGCCCTGCCACAACACCCCTCACCCCTGGAGAGGGGCCCAGGAAGGCTGTTCCAGGACCGGGAGCCTCCGCCAGTCCCCAACTCCAGTGGAATCTGTGAAAACCTGCCAACTTTTTCTCCAGGCAGATGTCCACGACCATGGGGACAGCAGAAGGGGGTGAGGTGGCCCCTGGGGCCCCCAAGCCCACCCACATCGACGTGCACATCCACCAGGAGCCTGTGCTGAACCTGAGCTGCCTGCAGTGGCCTTCTGCCCCCAACACCATCCCCTGGACCCCAGGACACAGACGGCTGCTCGTGGCCTCCTGGGTGAGCAGGGCTGCTGTGGGGGTGGGGGACCCAGGCCTCCATATCAGAAAAGGAGAGGCGCCCACTCTCGCCACGTTCACTCTCTGCCAGCCTCAATCTGAATAGGACATCGAGTCTGTTGTATCTAATGCCTAGAAACTCATTCCCCTGTGCTCTGTTTCTGGCTTTCTTCATCACTAACTGGCCTTCCTGGTGAAAACTGTAGGTAGGGTACACTGTGGGCTAGAGAGCTGACCACTGAAAGTCCCAGCCTGTGGAACCCTGATCCCAGCCTCTCTCCTGGGCCGGACGCAGCATGGCCGGCACCCCTCCCTCTGCCTCCTGTCCCTCCCCCACCTCTCTTCCTCTACCTTCCTCTCTTTCTCTTGTATGGGGTTCTCACAGTGAACACCTGGAACAGCAGGACCTTAAAGCTTCTCTGAGATTTGGAGGCCAGGTTCTCAAGCTCTTCATCTTTCAGGTGGTGCAGGTCGTGCTGGGGCTGATGAGTGGGGTCCTGGGAGGACTTGGCTGCCTCACATTCCATGAAAATTACCCGTATTCCATGGCCAGATGGGTCGTTGGCATCTGGACAGGGGTTGTGGTGAGTGGGGCCAGAGGATGGTGGGCGGGTCGGTGGACCTGTCAGAAGGGACTGCCCAACACCATCAATACAGCCACTATCAATGTGGTACTGCGGAATGTTGGCAACCCAAAAGACCCTAAGTTCTCGAGGCTGATCCCTGTTTCTACAGACGAGAAAAGAACCAGTCCAGCCGGTATGGCTCAGTGTTTAAGTGTCGACCTATGAATCAGGAGGTCATGGTTTCATTCCTAATCCAGGCACATGCCCAGGTTGCAGGCTTGATCCCCAGTGTGGGACTTGCAGGAGGCAGCCAATCAATGACTCTCTCATCATTGATGTTTCTATCTCTCTCTCTCCCTCTCCCTTCCTCTCCGAAATGAATAATTTTAAAAAAAATTTTTTTTAAAGAGCCAAGGAAAGTAGTGGCATAAGTCAGCTGTCCCAGATCCCTGCCCAGGGCGTCCCCAACCAAGCTGGCCGCCTCTCCCCACTTTCAACAGCAAATATAAACTGAGAAAGGAGCCGGAGCGGGGCTGTGATGATCTAGTCACTTGCATAGAGATGGGGAGGCATCCTGTGCTGCAGGGTGTAGGCCCACAAAGAAGGGGCACCTCCTAGTCCTTTCACACTGCCCTCTGCAGGTTCTGCACCACAGGGACCGTGTGGGTGTCATTGACGGACAATGGCTAATGTCAACAGGTGGGAGGGGGTGCCATCTGCAGTGGCAGCTGGGTGGGCAGGTCATGGTGGGATTGAAGCCCTTTGGCAAACTCACACACATTCACAGAATAACAGCAAAATGTATTTATTGAAAGAGGGGCCAAAGTCATCATGTATCCAACGGATGGACCAGACTTTCTGTTCTGTGAACTCAGGAGCAGAGCAATGTGGGGACAGGCGCCAACCTGAGGGGGGCAGACTCATCCTGAACTGAGAGCTTCTCCAACAGCCCAGGTCTTCCACCTGAACTTGCAGAAAGCACCTGGTGTGGCTTAAAAAGAGAAAGGCTTTGGAGAAAGAAGAGAGGGTTCACACCTGGCTTGACCACTAGTACCTTTAATGTCACTAAAACAGAGGGTCCTGCAGCCTGAGGCGTCATCCAGCCCTCCATACCCTCACTGCTACTTTCCTGCACAAACTTAACTCAAAACTCCCAGCCCACATATGTTCTGGGGCAGGGCCAGCTCTACCTGTGAGAGTTACAGAGGGACAGAGACACAGGCAGCTAGAAGGGCTTATGTGTCCCATCTTTCCCCAGGCTGTGCTGGCTGGAGTCGTATGCTTCCTCTACGAGAAATGGGGTGGCACCTGCTGGGTGAGTTTGGGGAAGGGCAGAAGCTGGAGGCCACCCCAAATCTCTCTCCGGCCCCTTTGAACCCCCCTCCCCCTCATTGGTCCCCAAGGGAGACTGAATCACGAGGTCTCCCTGTCTCCTCTTCATCCCAGGCCCTGCTGAGGACCCTGCTCACTCTGGCAGCTTTCGCCACAGCCATTGCTGCCATCTACACTGGGGCTTATTATTTCCAGGAATTAAGCGATGAGTTCTATCAGGCATTGTGTACAAGCGCCCCCTCCTGGGAGCCTACCCGCTCCCCCTGGGAGCCTACCCACCCCACCAGCTCTCCTGAAGAAGCCAACAGGCAGCACCTGTGCCTGTCCTACCTGCGCCTGGTCAAGGTAGGTGGGCAAGGGAGAGGAGCAGCACCGACAATGCTTCTATAGCAGTGATGGCGAACCTTTTGAGCTCGGCGTGTCAGCATTTTGAAAAACCCTAACTTAACTCTGGTGCCATGTCACATATAGACATTTTTTGATATTTGCAACCATAGTAAAACAAAGACATATTTTTGATATTTATTTTAATATTTAAATGCCATTTAACAAAGAAAAATCAACCAAAAAAATGAGTTTGCGTGACACCTCTGACACGCATGTCATAGGTTTGCCATCACTGTTCTATAGCAACAAGAAGACTGTCCATCCAAAACAGTGTCACCTCTTCTGCACCAAGCTTGACTACTGTCCCCACAGATGATGGTGTTGGACAAACAGAAACAGTTCCTGCAGTTGTGGATATCACAGCCTAGTGGGAACACAAACACTGAAACAACAATAAGTAAATCAATATCGCCAGTGTGTGCGGTGCTGCAAAGGTTCGGGTCAGCTGGGAAACCAAATCATAGCCCAAGCCTGTCCCTGTTCAGATGAGGATGCTGAGGCTCAAGGAGAGGACCTCTGGGTGCTCTTGTACACTAGACCTGTTGACCCCACCGCACACAGCGCTCCTTCCTCAGTCCCCTCCAGCCCCCTAAAGACTTGGGATGACAGGGTGGAGGGTGACTGTGTGTCGGTGATGAGGCTGAGGACAGATCACAGATGGTCGCTCTGGTGCCTGCAGCTTTGCTCCTCTGTTCTCAGGCCCTGTCCATGGGCCTTAGGGCCATGCTGTTGAGTATCTGGGTTCTGCTGTTTCTGACTTCTCTGACCCCCATGTTTCTGTACTGCTGGAGAAGAAGACTCCAACCCAAGGAGGTGAGTCCCTAGCATATGCGTCTGTGTGTTTGGGGCAGGAGGCTATGCAGCTAGGAGATAGAATGGAGAGAAAAGGCCCCGTGACAGTGAGTCCCAAGAACATCGTGCCTGTCTTTCTACCCCAGTGGTGGCCCAGCCCAGAGAGACACTGTCCCTGACCACGTAGTGCCCAGGCCAAAGACCTCAGGAAGCCAGGGAAGTCCATATCCATGGTGGGACTTTGGGGCTCTTTGCATTTGGTACCATGAGGTTGAGGATGGATCTGGTTGGCCCCAGAACTAAGCTGCCTTTGAGGAGAGAATTTGTGCTTCCTCTCCCCCTCTGGGTTGGCTCTCGTCCTCCTCCTCCTCTTCTTCCTCCTCCTCCTCTTCTACCTCCTCCACCTCCTTCTCCTCCTCCTCCACGGCCTCCCTACCCTAGCCTAATCTTCCCCTCCGATAAGAAAAAGATAGCAACCTGCTGCTGCTGGCTATTGAAATCGAGCTGCCACTCTCTGGAGTACTCATCACTGGAGCTCCTTCTGCACCCATGTCCCTGCATCTGACTCCTGGAATAAGAGCCAGACCAAGGAAATGAGACCCTCCAGTGGTCCCAGTTGTCCTGCCCCACAGCCACGGCCACAGCCACAGCCCTGCTCCACCACCCCTCACAGTGCCTCTCACCCATTTCTTTTACACCTCCACCATCCTGCCCCACTTCATGTCCCCTCTTGAGCAGTGATGATAATAAACTCTTACGTTGTTGCTCCCAGCTTCTCGCTTAGTTATTCCAGTGAATTTCCCTTGGTTGGGGAGGCAGTGGAGAATGAGCCAAGAGTGAACCCATTCCCAGCGTCTAGAGTTGCTGGCCCACTGTATTTTTATAAACGTCATCCATGTACTATTTACAAGAAACATGTCTAAAACAAGGATACAGAAAGATTGAGAGTAAGATGATGGAAAACATTTATAACAAATAAATTGGTACAGCTCTGTTAAAATCAGACTTTAAGGCAAACAGCATTCCTAGAGATAAAGTGATCAGTCTTGCCGGCATTCTCTCCTTCCTTCTTCCAATTCATTCCTTCCCTCCTGGGACCAGGACCCCATCCCTCCAGCTGGAGGAGCCATATTATGGCCAGGAGGATAAGTCAGAGCCATGGTGCAAGAGGAAGACCCAAGGAACCTGGCCTTCTATAGCACAACAGAACATGCCCACCTTTGGCTTACCTTTGAATATCTTTATATGAGATAAAGTAATTCCTTGCTGATTTTTTAAAAAGAAAAAATTTTTCTTTTTAAACCATTTATAATGGCAAAAAAACAATAGGGATAAAGTTAGCTAGGACTAAATCTAGACAGTCAAGTCATTAATAAAACCATAAGACATTGTTGGAAAATATTTATGAATCCTATCTAATAAAAGAGAAAGATGCAAATTGACCATGGCCCCGAACGCTTCCCATTGGCTAATCAGGGAGATATGCAAATTAACTGCCAACCAAGATGGCGGCCGGCAGCCAGGCACTGAAGCGAACAGGAGGCTTGCTTGCTCCAGTGACGGAAGAAGCCAAGGTTCCCTGCCTGCTACTGCCGGCCTCTGAGCTGCAGTTTAAGAAACATTGTTACAAATATAGAAGCTAAACAAACTCCAGAAACCTGCTTTCAGCCAGCCGGGCTTTAGCCAGCAGGATCGCAACAGTGTTACAATTATAGAACCCAAACAAACCCAGATCCCTGCTTTCAGCAGCGTAGGTCTCATAGCTGGAGCCAAGCCTCAGAGCTAAAACCGACTCTCAGCTCCAGTGACAGCCATAGAAGGTAAATAAATCCCAGAATAAAAAGAAAAAGAAAAAAAGGAGAGGTTGGGAGCCTCAGTTGCCCGCCAGCCTGAAAACAGCCATCATCCCCTCACCCAGACTGACCAGGTATCCCAGTGGGACCCCCACCCTGAAGCAACAAGATGGCGGCTAATTTGCATACTGAAGGCGGGCGGCAGCAGGAAAGGCTGTCCGAGTCCGGGACCAGGATCTGTGACCCTGCTGGGCGGAGGGCAGTGCTTGAGGCTGTCCGTGGTCCTGGGACCCGGATCTGTGACCCTACCGGACGGGGGACAGTGCTTGAGGCTGTCCACGGGACCAAGATACAGATCTGTGACCCTGCCGGGCGGGGAACAGTGCTTGAGGCTGTCCACGGGACCAGGACACAAATCTGTGACCCTGCTGGGCGGGGGGCAGTGCTTGAGGCTGTCCACGGGACCAAGACACGGATCTGATACCCTGCCAGGCAGGGGGCAGCACTTGAGACTGTCCGAGGTCCCAGGACCCAGATCTGTGACCCTTCCCGGTGGGGCGGCAGCTCGCACAGAGGCGGATCAGCCGGGGTTGGGCAGGGCAGGACGCCTGGCTTCCGCCCAGCCCCAGTCACTCTGGGCAGGTGAGCAGTACAGAGAGCCTCTGGACAGGGGAGGCAGGCCAGCGGAGGGCAGCCTGTACTCCCCACATGGCGGTGGTGACAGCTGTGAGCGCGCCAAGCGGAGCCTGCAGGCTGAGCTGAAGTAGCGCCTGCAGGCCATTAGTGCCCAGGAGTGGCTGCACAAGTCCCGCCTCCTGGCCCAGAAGGTGCAGGATCGCAGGGACATCCACCATGGTGGGCCAGACTGACGTCCTCCTGGCTGCACCATGGGGGTTTGCGGATCTGCAAAGCCAGAGGCCTCCAGTGTGCACATCCTCCCCTGGCGAGCAAACATCCCCCAGCACACTGTCACCCTCCCACGCCTGCAATAGTTGCAAACCAAGGCGTGCACAAGTTCCCCCCGCATCTCCACCGCACTTCCATCAACCCAGCATGCCTAACACCCCCACAGGATGTGCACACATCCCCTCTGATGCGCTCACATCCTTTGGAGAGTGTCTGGGTGTTCTGGGTGCTGAGGGTGGGCGCCTGTGAGATGACAGTGAGAGGGTGGAGTGGTGATGCCCTGTTCCCATGGAGGCCAGTGAAGCTACGAGATCACCTTTGGGGGGTTAATGCAGGTGCTAAGGCAGGAGCAGGTGCAGATAGACACACCTGGTGGGCACGGGCAGCCCTCACTGAGGTGCCTTTGGTCAGTGTTCAAGATCAAGAACCCAGAGGCGGAGAGGAATTCCGTCCTCTCAGTGAAACAGTGGGATAGTCGGGGTGACTGTAGAGGAGGAATGTGCACTTTGGGTCTCAGCACCCATGAGTGAAGGCTGCCCTGACTGAGCCTCGCTTGCTTGGGGCCTAGAGCACTCCTGCCGGGCAGTGGGTGACAGGATATGCTTTTCTGAATTAATGAGAGAAAACGTTGATTCTCCTGCTGCCCACGAAGGTGGAAAGTGAAGTGGGGAGACATGTGGAGAGTGAGCGAGGTTCCCTGTCTGGGGGTTCCAAATCTGCTGTTGGTTTCTTTCACCGCTGGATAAAGATATACAGGGCGTCCCCCCAAAATGTATACACACTTTGAATACCTACTAATTCCAATGGTTTTAAGCATAAGAAAGAAACAACAATGGAGCTGTTATCTGTTAAAAGTGTGGGCACAAACAGGTAGTTGGACATTCCCTGAGGGGTCTCAGATTGGAGAAGGTGAAGGCCAGACTGAGGGGCCCCTTCCCCCCACCCCCACCCCAGTGCACAAATTTCATGCACCGGGCTACTAGTATCTAAATAAATGGAAATATATGCACCTGTCTATGGAAGGGAAGACTCAGTTTTGTAAAGACGTCATCACCTTCCAAATTTATACCTAAATTCAATGTGATTCCAATCAAAATCTCAGCAGAGTTTTCTTAGTAACTTATTAGTCAATTCTCACATTGATATAGAATCAAAAGACCAAGAACAGCAACCTTTAGTTTGTTCTCTGTATCCATGAATCTGTTTTTGTTAGTTTGTTTGTTTTGTTCTTTAGATTTCACATATAAGTGAAATTATATGGTATTTGTCTTTCTCTGTCTGACTTATTTCACTTAGCATAATACCCTCTAGATCCATCCATGTTGTGCAAATGGTAAGATTTCATTCTTTTTATAGCTGAGTAATATTCCATTGTATATAGTGCTACCTCTTCTTTATCCAATCATCCATTGATGGGCATTTGGGCTGCTTAAAAAACTTGGCTATCCTATATAATAAAGAGGTGATATGCAAATTGACCATCATGCCCTCGCACAAGATGGTCACCCCCATGTGGTCACAAGATGGTCGCCCCTGTGTGGTTATAAGATGGCCACCACAAGATGGCTGGCAGGGGAGGGAATGTGAGGGGAAACAGGCCAGCAGGGGAGGGCAGTTAGGGGCGACCAGGTCAGCAGGGGAGGGCAGTCAAGGGTGACCAGGTCTGCAGGGAAGGGCAGTTGGGGGGGACCAGGCAAGCAGGGGAGGGCAGTTGGGGGTGACCAGGCCTGCAGGGGAGGGGAGTTGGGGGCAACTGGGACAGCAGGGGAGAGCATTTGTGGGCAACCGGGCCAGCAGGGGAGGCCAGTTGGAGGCAATTGGGCTGGCAGGGGAGGGCAGTTGAGGGCAATCGGCCCACAGGGGAACAGTTAGGTGTAGATCAGGCAGGCAGGGGAGTGGTTAGGGGGTGATCAGGCTGGCAGGCACAAGCGGGTAGGGGGAATCAGGCAGGCAGGCAGGCAAGTGGTTGGGAGCAAGCAGTCCCGGATTGTGAGAAGGGTGCAGACTGGGCTGAGGGACAGCCCCCCCCCCCCCCCCCCGTGGACAAAATTTTTGGCCCGGGCTTCTAGTTGTAAATAAAGGTGTAATGAACATAGAGGTACATATATAAATTTCAAATAATGGTTTGGAATTTTTTCAAAAAATTTCCCAAAAGGGAAATTCTGGGCCCAAAGGGAATTTTTTTTTTTATTTTTTTAGGACCCCCCCTAATGGTTTTCCAAAGGGGGGGCCCAATTTTGAAATTTCCCCAAAGGGGACAAAGGGTTTTCTTTTTCTCTATATACACACCAACACTTTGTGGTTTTTGAATATTTGTGAAAGCCAATTTGTTAG